ATGTTGAAGATTTTATTATATGCAGAGTGGGCTTATATTGAATGTGAATAATAGAGGAAGCTAATTAAGCAATTATAATAAAAAACTAAAAAGAGGACAAGAAGATATTGTAATACAAAAAATTATTCAAAATAATTAAGCACTAAAATTAAAATGGATTTAGCTTAATAAATTCTGAATATGCCGGAAACAAGTGTACAGAGATTAATGATAGGCAAATTTCTTTTTTTTTTAAGTATCAGAACTTATAATTTGCCGACAAGTAGTCAATAGATGCTTTTATATTAACTAAAAATTAATTTTTCATAAAGTGCTCTATTAATTAGCATTCAATATTATTATTGCGCCATTTAACTTAAAATGTATAATAGACTTATTATAAAATTTAATTATTTATTTATTATTATTATTACAATATTTACAATTATTATTATTTTGTATTAAATATATTTTTTCCAAAATGTAATGCAATTATTATTATTATTATTATTTTTGCTTTTTTATTTTTATTTTTTAATACAATTACCGTAGATTTCCCATCTCAACATGTTACCCCAGAAAATAATTATTCTATATCTAATTCTTGTATTGCTACACACAAACCTCATGATGATCTATCCGAAAAAGGCAACTACAAGTGCTTAAGCCACCCACAGGTGAAGAAACACCTCAGCTCATCTACGCACTTTCATTCGCCACTGTCGGCTATGGATTTTCACTTGCGCATCTTCGCAAAACACTTATCAATAAAAGTATACGCCCACTTGGATATGCATAGTTGTATATGTAATTACAAACAGTTACACACACACACACATGCAGATTTATGATTTCTTAAGAGCTTAGACGGCTTATTCACTTGAGCATTCCATTCGATTCATGAGTATTACGCGTATTTCTCTCAATCATGACGATTTTGCTGTTAAATTTATTTATTTATTTATGTTATTTTTTTTTCTTAACTTTCACTCGCAAGAGTGAGAGACGTCTCACTACCTGTCCGTCTACCTGTTTATCGATAGACAACATTAATTAAAACATTATATTCCCATTATAAATTCAGTTGATTTTTGCTATTTGATGTGGCGGCAACTGTTGCTGCTGCTGCTGCTTCTTCTTCTTCTTCTTCTACACTTTTCCACGCAATTCATGGTGTGAACATTTACTTTACAGCTGCATTTCTATGAATGTTTCGTTTTTTTTTTTGTTGCGTTAATTTTCGCACTTGGCAATGACGCCGCTTGCTGGGTTTACGCCTAACGGTTTTCTGTTGGTATGGGAAATGGTGAAAAGCGTTAAGGAAAAGCGACAAACGCAGACAATGGCCAAGCGAGCACACAAACAAACAAATGAACAACATGCATAACATGAACTACAGTTACCCACATATAAAGCCTAACCTTCAGTTTCCGTATCAAAGTTTTCCGTTTTACGAACTGTTAAATTATATAATTCGCATTGCATTTGATTAATGGCATTAGGAAATGATGCATAAATGAGCAACAGCTATTTTCAAGTCTATAAATATGAGATAGATTTATTTGGAAAATAACTACACAGAAAATGGTAATAAAAATATATATTTATGAGTAGCAAAAGCTAACTTGGACTTGCTTTTAGCTTATAAATTATATATATAATATATATATAAAAGTTATAATTTTTATTTGAGCTTAACGTTATTTTAATAAATTTATATACAATTTTTTATTATTATTTTTAAAGTAATATAAAATAAATATTATATATTTAATATTTTTAAACAGATATTTAAAACATAAACAATATGAGCTGAAAGGTTTTTAAAAAATTATATGAAACTAATTATTATTATTTTTAAAGTAAGTAACAAAATATTATATAAATAATATTTTTAAACAGATATAGAAAACATAAACAATTTGAGCTGAAAGTTATTTTAATAAATTTATATAAAATATACTATTAATTTTTTAAGTAATTTAAGTACAAATATTTTATATATTTAATATTTCTAAACAGATATTTAGAACATCAACATCAACATCATTTCAGAGCTCTGAAAACTGTTCAAATTATTTTAGCATCAATTTAATCTATTTTATATAATAAAAGATATTATTTTTATTTATTTTTTTTTTTTGTTTTTTTAATCACATTTTTGCAAGTTATTTTTATTTAATTTTTCTTTTTTTGTTTTTAAATCACATTTTGCAAAGTCTTGTTTTTGTTCTTTAATTTGATTTATTTTTATTTATTTATTGTTACAAAGAATTAAATCTAGATAACAATTTTTAAGCCAGAGCGACAAAGGCCTTCAGGCAGTTTATTTTAATGTCTGCAAGAAATATTCTAGCAACAGTTGCAAATTAAAGTTTTCATCAGAAGTTGAAAAAGAATTTTCTTTTACTTGGAGTCTTTTTTGGTTATTTTCTTCGCCATTGCTGTTGGCCATATTGGCCACATTGGCCACATTGGCCAGGAGCACACATAAATCAGAAAAGTTCATTAAGACAACTGCCAAAATCTATGAATATAAATCTAAATGCAATGTCCAATCGCCGGCTCATGCGCCTCCTAGTTAAAGCCAATGCCAACTACGTGACGACCCCATGCGCTGAAATTATAGCAGAATGGCTAGAAACAACGGCAACTGGCAGCAGCCCACTGAGCCAACTGAGCCAACTGGCAGTTGGCAGCCAGCGAAATAAATAACTCAATTTAGGAAAAAGTGTTAACTTGAAATTTGCCAATAAATCAATGGAGAGGCTGGAACAGGCCGTTCCGGGTCGGATCGGGGCGGGGCAACTGGCAACTGGCAGCTGGCACCTTGTGATTAGCAACCGAGCCCGAAACCTGGCGATTGCTAATCTCCAGCCAACTCCTTAAACGCTGATTTTTGAAAAGCGGAAGACTTTTCAATAAGCTTGGCCAAGAGCCGAGCTCCAAGATTGGGCAGCCGTCACTTGGGGCTGACAGACAGACAATAAACTCGGTGATTTTTATTTTCGTTTTCTGCCTTTGACTTTTTATTTCCTCCTCCAGCTACTCCCTCCCTGCTTTTGTTGCTGTTTATTTTAATTTGCTGTTTTTTTATCTTTATATATATATATTTTTTTTTCTTGTTTTTGTTGATGTTTCTCGGTGCTGTCCAAATAATTTGGCTCACTTCACGCCTGTCACAGACGCGAAACTCAGATCTTTATCGCGCTTCATGAATTTACAAATAAACCTCAATTAAAATTTTGATTGAAATGAATGCAATGGTTCGAGTTGTCAGAGATGTCAACATTTAAATAGTAGCAGCAGCGGAGGCCGCTCGCCTTAATTTAAATAACTGTTTAGCCCTTGCTCAAAACTGTTATACTCGCATTCGCACTCGCACTGGGGCCGCGTTTTATATGCGTAGCCTAATGCCGTTTCGGTTTCTGGTTATGCAAATCTCCCTTGACTCTCTTCTGTTATACTTGTGTGTGTTTGTTCGTCTTGTTGTTCTACTGGCAAATCTCTGGATAAGCTTAGAACTGTTATACTCGTACATGTCTAAAGTAATCGACTGATGGTGAATACATCTTAGGCTCTTGTATTTCTAGAGCAATTCTAAAGGGCTATTCCACATTTTATTATTTGCGCACAGCTCTTCTGATTCAAAACTGTTATACTTGGGTATGTTTAAATTGTTCTTACTTCTAGTTGCATTTTATTATAGTCGAATACCACGAAACTAATGCTTAATTGAATTCACTTAAACAAATTTGTTGATATGAATCTATTAATCCGGAACTGTTATACTCATGTAGACTTTAAATGATTCCCAATCCAGTTAATATATGTTTTACTTGCTTAGACTGATTGTCTAATCCGATTCTGAATACAGTTTGTTTTCTAGTTCTTCTGGAAAAGCCCTTAACATGCTCTTATAGCTCCAGTCATTCAGATTCTGAGCTCTTATCTTTTGCCACTCTAGCTACTTCTGTTATACTTATTATTTATAGTTTTATATATTTAATATTTTGATATATGTACATACATACTTATTATTCTAGTGATCTGCATGTTTCCTTATTGTAAATCCCTTTGATATGCTAGTTCTATTTTGATATTTACTTAAGCAGGATTTGCTATTGGATCTCCTCTCATATCTCTCTCTAGTTTATCATATATCTATGCTAAATATGAAGCCTATTCTACTTCAGTTTTTTTGCCAAATCTATTAATATACTAGCTCACTTTGGTAGTTCTCAGCTTAGTTCCGATGTACTCGAGCTATATTTCCGAGTAAATCTGAGCTGATTCCGATTTGGCTGCAGGTTCTGTTAGCTCAGGCTCGTTGCCAGCGAGTGTGCCAATATGAAATAAGTATATGTAGTATATATATAAAAATATTTTGTATATATTGCTTAAATCCAACCGGTTCTTGGCTTCTCGAGCCGATATTATTATGCTGTAACCGGTTTACGAGCCGCTTATATTTATTCCTTTTTTTTTTTTAAATTTTATTCTCTGCGTTTAAATATTTTGTATTTGTGTTTTTTTTCTTTTTTTTGTGAAATATTTTGTTTGCATTTCAAGCGCATTTGACACACAGACGCCGAGCTTGGTTCAAAGTTCCGCTCTCCAGTTCATCTGCACAGATTCGTTAACTGTAAACAGAGTTTCTGTTTTTTCTTTTCTTTCTTCGGAGCTGTTAAGCTCTTGCGCTCATTTCGTATGGCAAATTCAGTATAACGGCGTGGCGATTCACTCAGTTCGGTCTTTTGTTTGATTACAGCACCCAACAAACACTTCACGCTCCCGATAAATTGTGTAAACTCGTCTATTGTCCAGTTGGCTTATTGAACAGGTGCCGCAGTCGTTAGCATAATGCAAATCGATTTCAGACTTGCCTAATACTATGTTAGAGAATCGTTCGTATACCTTAGTTAAAGAGCTAAAAATATTTGTGAGAGAACTTTGGTTATGCAAATTCTGAAAATATTTGATAATCTTTTATTTACTTTATTTACTTTTTTCTCTTTCAGCTTGTGCTATGCTCTTGGACGCGGAACATCATAATCATCAACCCAATAATCATAATCAGCTGAGAGGTAAGCAAAATATTTGCACAAAAGTTGATTTAGTTTTTTTTTTGTTTTTTGTTTATGCAGCAATTAAAATAACATTTGATGGCAATTGCTAATGTTAATATTTGATTTCACTCAGCGAGCAGCCATTGGCCAGAAAATAAACAACAAAAATGTTTATTAACAATTTTGCGCCTTCCGCTTTTGGGACAAGTTTTATAAGGGGGAAGTCTTCAAATATGATCGATAAACTTGGCTATTTAATGATTGGCGGAAACATTTGAATTAGCTGAAGTATTTGACTGTTAGCTTAAGCCTCTTATGAGCGTTCAGTTGGTTTTTTTTAGTTTTTTTTTTTAGTTTTAGTTTTAGTTTGTTTGTCATGCTCCAGTTATGCCTAAAATCAAATTATCAAAGCTTGAATGGCTAGGGACTGCTGAAATGACTTTCCAAAGTCCGCTTTACTTTGCTCTTACCTCAGCTATTCTATGGCTGTGACTCCCCCTTTCCCCACTCCCTCCCCCTCCCCTCTCGCTCTTCTTCCACTCGACAATTTGTGGTTCTGCTCAAATGCACATAAACAACTTGGGGCCAGTCGAACGTGTTGGTTATTAAAACTTGAGAAAACTTGACAAATGACAAATTTAGCAACACAATAAAAAGAAGCAAAAACAAAACGCAGAAACACAGAAAAAGAAAAGCAAAGAAAATGTAAAAGCGAGAAGCAGCTGTGAACGTTTTAAGCGAGTGGAAAATTGCTGCAAATGTAAAGTGAAAATCTACGAAAAGAGAGAGAGAAAATTTAATAAAAAAAAAAATTATTATTTTAATTATTATTAAATCAAGCTTGAAATGGGCGTTAAGTGAAATCAATGAATGTTTCTGGAATTTGAAATGAAACAGAACTGAGACAGAGATTGAAAATATATAGAGCTTGACTCTAAAGTAAGCTAAACTCTTTGGCACCCAAAAAGTACTCGGAAAACAAGTTAAATGTAGCTTAAGTGATATTGCCTTGTTGCTCTTTTATTCTAGTTTTAGATTCAGATTAAGCACAACATAAATAAAGCTGCAAAAAAGAAGTAAATTCTTGTTTCTGTGTTAAATTTATTTAATTAAATTTTGTTTGCCTTGAGTAAGAAATTTATATTCAGCTGTTGATTTGCTTGTCTGTCAAGAATTTTAGAATATATGGGAGAATATTTCTATATTCCCCTATATAAATATTCAAACATTCTTTCTAACTCAGCTCACTCAGCATTTCTTTGGGGACTCTGCCCTGATTAACTACTGTCCACAGTTTTCAAACTTATTTCATTGACTTTCATTCGGAATTGACTTGAAAAAAAAGAAAGAATCGACTGCATGAAAAAGGGACATTTAACTGGGATGAGTCAACAGTTTTCATTCAGTATTCCTACCGTCCGATGAGTCAAGTCGAATCGAGTCGTGCGCAGACTTTCAACAAGCAAAACAAATGTCGAAAGAAATTAATTCGAAAATGATTTTTGTTTTTTCCTCTTTCGATTTTCGTGGACTTAAATAGCTCTTTAGTGTTACCCTTTGCCTGGCCAGCGCTTTGTGGCACTATCATAATCATTATTCTTGTTGCTATTTAACTTGACTGTGCCCCGGGCGACCTGAGTTCCCATTCTCAATCATTATTTGAAGTCTCTGAATTTTCATTGTTTGCCGCAGGCTTTGTTCGATTCGTATTCAGTTTTTTTTTTTTTTTTATCTTTTTCGCATTCATTTTTCTCTTTATGTTGTCAACACAATTAAAGCAAATTGCCAATTGTTGTCCAACACCTTTGCCATGGCTCAAACAACAAACGAAGCCAAAACAAACAAATTTGGTCAATTCATAAATAGGAAACATAAATAAATTTGTTACAGTTTTTCGTTTTTTAGTGTTTTTATGATTATTTTTAGTGCGTGGCCCGCAGCTTTATTGAAAAAATGCAAATCTGGCAGCTATTTCAAAAGGGCCTGATTCGGAATTTATAGATCAGTGAACAAAGCTTTTAGTAGGCGTCGCACAGCACTCAATGTCTGCTGCTTGATTGTGCAAGCTGTTCCTCTAGGAAAATGTTCTAAACGACTTTCACACACACACACACATACACACATACACATCGACTGATTCTATTGAATCCACAGCACTTTCTAGGCATCTCTTAAATATAGAAAATCATTGCGCTTTGTAGTGCATCACGTTCGCATTTACCAAATCAAAATGGCTTTAATTAACAATTTATGCGCAGCCGGGTATTTAGTTATTATATATATACATACATAAACGTATATATGTGCATATGGTATCTAGCAAGCCCTCAATTTGATGCCCCATCATCATCATCATCATCATCATCTTCCGTTCAGTATTCACATCGATTCTTAGCTCTATAATCGCCGGCTACTGTTGCCTGTTGCTCAGTTCCCTCCGCCTCTGGCCACGCCTCTGGTCTGTGCCAACCGTTGTCAACCTTGCCGCCTCTGAACATTCTGTCCAGTCATGCTTAATTATTATGATTATCAATGTTTTATGCTCTATAATTGCCGTTGGCTGCCGTGACTTGGGTCTTCTAGCGGCCACACCCCGTCAGCCGCGTCCAGCCCCAAAAACTAGGCCGTCTGTTGCGATTGTCAACTCTAGACTAAATTCGAGACTTTTCCTATATATATCGCACTGCATTTGCTATTGGTTACGTATGCTACGAATACGCTTATGCAATCGCTCTTGGCAATTATATGGCTTAGTGGCCGGGCTAAAAGTCAGCCTAACGCCAGCCAGCAGCCACCAGCCTAGCACAGTGGCTAGCCAGGTCGTAGTGAGTACACTCAGCAGCAGCTTCAGCATTTGCTAAAACAACACTGTGCTACAAATTCAACACAGACTCTTGCAGCTACTCTCAAGGCTGTTCTAGCCACACTTTTTGCCTCATCAAAAATCGTCAAAGTCGGAAGTTATGTTGACATTTAAGCATAGCCTCAGCTGACAGACAAAGCGTTAAAATTCGTATAAAAAAACAGCAGACAAAATATGTATATACATATATATATTTTTTTTTATAGCGCCTTGAACCAAATCCGTTTATTTGCAAGCTTAAGTATTTTGTAAAATTAAAAAAATTGTATGTATGATAAATTATGCATATAAATAAAAATTTAAAAAATGCTTTACAAAATAAATACAAAAATATATATACATACATTTTATTTAAAATAAAAAAAAAATAAATATATTTAAAAAAAATATTTTCAAATATAAGTATAAATATTAAAAATGTTAAACAATTTGTTTGTTGGATTATTTGTAAATTTTTTCATGCAATGAAATTTAATTTTTAATATAAAAATAATAAAAAATGTATTATATTTTTTATAATAAAAATATATTATATATTTTACAGTTTTAAATATATGTATATCCAAAAAAAAGCTCATGAATAATATAAGAAATTGAAAAAAAAATAAAAAAATACCCATAAATAACATTGCCAGTATTTTTAGTTTTTTATTTAAATTATATTTATTACATTAAAAAAATAACTTATAAAGAACCAACTGTTTTTGTGTAGTTTCTTAACTCATAAATAATATTTAATTTATTTTTTTACTCTAACGCTTTCTGCTTAGCATAATATTTAAAAGCTTAAACTAAGTGCGCAATTTGTTTGACAATTTTAAACCAAGGAACGCTATAAATTTTAGTCATATTTGTTAATAGTAGTGATTATTCCATAGCAACTTTAAGCACTGTTATTAAGAGTGATGTTTAATGATTTATATATTTAAATCAATAACCCATATTAATAAAAACCCAAACTAATGCTGTCAGCCATCAATGGCATAAGCAAACAGAAATGATATAAGGTCTATAAAGCAATGTTCAATGTCTGCTCACAGCTGAAGACTCGTAAAATAGGAATAGTTACACAGTCGATCTGCTGCCCTTTGATAATGCCATATTTCTGATTGAATATCATTATGTATAGATAACATAAATTACTTTGACCCTCAGCCCAGAACTGGGTTTCTATACAAATGTTAATTTTTGAAGCTAATCTTCATTAGATTATTCTAAAAATTACAAATCAAAAAACGTTTTTGTATCAAAAAACTTGTTTTTCAAAACACAAAATCGTAGACAAATGAGGCAGCTCAGCTGCGCAGCTATTTAAATTAAAAAAAAAAACCTTCGTCAACAAACTTTGTTAGTCAAAAAAAAAAAAAATAATAATAATAAAAGAAAAAAAAAACCCTAATTGCATTGAATTTTAATTACTTATGTATATGCTCAAAAATTTTAAAAATATTATTATGAAGTCAAGCCAAGATTTTTTATAGACAAAAATACCTTGAAATGGGCTCAGGAATTATTTATTAATTAAAAAAAAAAATAATAATAATATAGCTAAAACTTGTTATATATAAAAGTAGGCAAATGTCCACAAATAAATTTACAATTCATTATAATATTTATAAATTTTTTTAAATATTAAAAAATCAATTTTGAATATGTTTTATTCCCATTTGACATGCAACTAAAATAATTCATAATATTGATGTGATATTATCTGCTGATAATAATCAATGTAGCTGTCTATATCTACCTCTACATTCCTGACATATTTTGTGCACTTTGTGACCACTGTGCGCACTGCCGCATTCAACTGGCAGACGCATCGCAATGCAGGCCAGTCAGACCGACTGACTGGCTCAAAGCTAGGCTGGGCTCGACTAGTGTAGTGTTGCTCTGTTAGCATGTCCAAGCGTCCATTCAGGTGTCCGGGCAGGCGTGCATTTAAATTTATTATGTAAGCCACACAGTCTATGCCACAAGCAAGAGCAAAGCCCCAGCCACACAGCCACAGCCAGCAGAGTCACAGCCTCCCAGTCGCCCAGTCGCCCAGTTGGCCAGTTGGCCAGTCCCCCCAGTTGGCTAGTCGGCTGGCTCGGCTCTCATCCAACGCCACCGACGCTGTCGCAGCGCGTTTGTTGCTGCAATCTTTAAAAATCTC